CTGATTCCCAGTGCTCTGGTCCACTACAACTCCATCACCCAAGCCTCCCTCAAATAAACATCGATTTACATTGCCTGAGTCAATAATAGCAGTTTCTTTCCATTTACCAAAGGAAAATTGAAGACAGGGTCACAGAGATAGAGCATTTCGAGTGGCCCAAGCACAAGGAACTAAATGCTGTAAGAAGTACATCAATTCCCAAATTCAGGATGGTGACAACACCATCTTGGTACATATTCTGCAGAGGAGGATCAGGGTCATATGCTGAATGTCAGTCAACAGTGCAACACCATTAGGAAAAAGCAAACAACGTGCTGGATGTATAAACAGAAGAAAAACCCTCTGGACAAGTGAAGTAATCCTTCTACCCAGGACCATCTAGGCTGGAGGTGGACTGCTCTCTGGTTTTGGAGACAAAAGTTCAGTACCAACCAACTGGAAAGAGTCCAGAAGAGAGGTGTGAGATAGACAAGAGGTCTAGAAAAGATGATCAGTGACAAAGGACCAGAAGAACTCTGTCTGCCCGAGAACATCCTAGTCAATGCAAAGTTGATGCAAGCACAGTTGCCCACAAACTAATCTCTTTCTGTAGTGCACCAGGATAGCCAGGATGCCAGCTTTAGTACAAATAGTGCAATGGCAATGCCAGGCAGCTTGCAAATAACTCCAACTTTCCATCACTTAGTATGGTGGTGTAGAAGAGAAATTAAGCAGTAAGGAAAAATGTCTGCAATTCCTATCCCCAAAAGATTAAACTTTTAGTCATTTTATTAGTAAAATATGTTGCAAAGTCAAAAAAAAAAAAAAACCCTGCAGTCATTCCACGAAATTATTTTACAGGATGAGTAACTCCCATATGAAAATATTTTTTAAAATTATTCTAACCAATTGGACCATGTTGTCATAATACCTGGACAGCATGCAATCTCAGGGCCCTACCGAGACTACCAGGGGCTGCTTAATTCTTTTGCAAAAGGGCAGAAGGCTCCAAAAGATGGTTTAAATGATTTAACCACAGAAACCACAGAAGTCTTTGGCTGAACCAGGATCCAAAATGAAATCCTGTAAGTTCAGGCCCACAGCCCCCTCTGTGCACTCTCTGCCTTTCATGCTGTTTTTGTTCCTGGTCACCCATTAGCACAAGTAGAACTAGAACTATAACTATACATTGCCCAGCACGCAAATTACCTGAATTGTATGGGAAGTAACACAGCTTACTCCTCTAAAATAGGACTAAGCCTAGTCACTTTTGATCTTGCAGGGAAATTCAGATACAGAATCCAGGCTGATGGCTGAAATCACCTCCTAACCCAGCTCCTGCAAGGAGTCCATACAGTCTGCATCAAATCAAAAAAGCCTTTTCTCTTTGCTGACATGTACACAGAAACTCAGTGTGCAAGTATCAAGAAATATCAAGAAAAACATATCTGGTTATCACAGTCCTAGTTGTACAAGGCAGAAAAGGCCTGGCTGCTTTCTGTTCAAACCTTTGTGTGGCTCAAGGCCTGTGTGTACACAACTTTCCTCTCCTCCATCTCTGCGTTCACCCAAGCACGCATTTCCCTGGAAGGGCGCTGCCTGGAACTCCTTGTAGTTGTTTTCTGACTACCACAAGCAGCCTCTCCTATACAAAACAAGATATGACTGGAGTCAGACTGTTCCTAGCACCTCTCCTCTGCTGCCAGCTGGACCCTCTGATTAGAACTGCTTCTACATGGCTGCTGGCTGCCTGGTGGTACCCAGGTTGGGTGTCTGAGGTGGCAGGGACATGTGTAGCTGCAGCAGCACAGGGCAGCAAGGGCTGCCAAACCCCTTCTGGCAAGTCAGGTGAATGCCCTGGCAGTAAGTCCTCACCCCAGTGCTGGGCTGCCCTGGTGTGCTGGCAGGTGAACCTGTTCTGGGGAGGAGGAAGTTAACACTGCTTCCTCCACACAGCCTGCAGGGTAGATTGATTGCTGTGCAAACACATCCCAAATTTCTAAGCCTGACGGTCAGCCTCAGGACTCAGCACTGATGCATCCCCAGAGAAATCTGAAAAAATAACTCATTCCATAAAAGTAGCCTATGGGCGTTAACTTCCCAAAGGCTTTTTCCTCCAGTTTATGCTGACAAATGCAAAGACTCTTCTCCCTCAGCTATCGCAATGGTCTCGTGCTGTCGGGACCCTCGGCTGCTGAGGTGCGGATTTACAGCACTGGCTTTTGCACAGTATAATGCTGAGCCTCGGGGATCAAGGGTTATGACATTTTTATGGCCTCTCTTCTCCCCCCTCATATGAACATGAAGCAACCGTAAGGAAAAACATCTGGTTTCACTTTTCTTTTCTCCACCACTGTTCCCATCTGACAAAACCTTAAAAACTTGCCAGTGCTCTAGCAAGCTGTGTGTGCCAGCAGCCTGCAAGGAGCCAAGGCTTTTTTGGTGTCATCACAAGCGGGAGTACACTCGTCTGGAAGGACCAGCTCCATCGTTGCTAGAAGGCAAGACTACCCCGATCTCATCCCACTGACAGATGCACTGGCAGCCCTCCTCCATTGCTAGAGCAGGCTGAAGAGTTGCTAAAAGACTGTCCTTCCATCTTGATCTCATTACAGGCTGCATCTCCAGGGGAAAACAGGGGCCGCTGTGGGGAACATTGTGAGACAAGTCAACCTCTGCTGTGGACAGGGAAAACAAGCTGCAAGGAGAAGTCCTGCCTCACCTCAGAGTCTTCAGAGGGGTTCTTCTGGGGTGACAAAAGAAGCTTGCTCTATTTCTGAACAGTGGTGTGCAGAGGAAGACTTGTGATCAGGGCTAGTCTGGAACAGAAAAGTCAGATGAGCCCAAAAATCCAGGTGAAGGTCCCTGACTTGCAGGAACTACCTACACAGCTCTCAGGTCCAGGTGAGACCCACACTGACAGTCAGGAGGAAAAGCATAGAAGACTACAAACTCTGAGGCCAGTCTGGCAAAGGTGGCCAAGTGCCTCTTTCTGCAGCTGGAGACCAAGAAACAGCATAATCCGTTCCCTTACATTATCTTATTTATCCAAGGAAAGACAAAATTAAAATATTTCCAGGAATCTGAAAGCATTTCTCCCTTATCTATAGGAGAGGAAGGCATCTATGCAACAGCCAAAGTAGCAGCTCTGGAAAACCTCCAGAAATAATCTCTTCTCAGGATCCCCCATTTTCAAACCCCAAAGGAAACCAGGCGGACTGTTCAGACACATCTTACAAAGGAGGGACAAATGCTGAGTGCTCCTCCAGGGACGTGCTGTTGACTACTACTGGCTGCCATGGAGACCATGAGATGTGAAGGTGCTTCACAGGGATGAGGTCCCAGGACTGTATGGCAATTAAGGTCATATGTTCGATATTAGAAACAAATCCTAACAGTGAAGCACTCAAATAACAACACTGGCCTCCAAGAAAGGTCTCCGAGGGACAGGAACCAAAAGTGATCATGGCAAAGGGTATTGAACGCGCAAAGAAAATGTTCTGTGCTGTGGGCTGCAAGAGAAGACACAGGGTATTGTTTTCCAGTTTCTTTCTCTCTTTTTGACTGCCCTTCTTGACTATGCCAATAAAAAAACCACCACTCCCTCCTCTTATTCTTTTTCTTTGTTTACTTAACTTTTTTTCCTCGTAGCAACTGCATAAAGCTGAAGCCATCTGATATTTCCAAGTAACCAAGACCATTATTCACTGAAGGCACTGGCCTGGATCCTAATTGCTGCTGGTTTCATACTCAACACAAGCGTTGCAAACAGCTGTAAATATCTCTGTACAGTACTCCACTCATGTCAAGCCGACCCTAATTCTTACAAGTCCCCTGGGATACAAAAAAAGTGCTGCCAGAGAAAATAGGTGTGCTAGGTACACTTTGCAAGAACAAATAGCAGCAAGAGAGGAGACGGCAGAAATACGGTTTTAGAGCCTTTTCCAAGGCATGCAAAGGGGAAGCAGGTGAAAGGAGTTGTTGGTGACCAGTATCTGCAAGCCACATGATGGGATGAAGAGACCTTACATCTGAGTAAAACTAGGACAGGGAAGACTTTCTAGATCATGTCCCAGCACCTGGAGAATATTTGAGGAGGAGGTTGTAGCATCCCCTTCCCATGTTACTCTTCCAAATCTTTGTTCCAGGCATGCTGCTATTCTGGCATTATCTGATTTCTTCATCCTATTTCCCTCTATCCACACAAAAGGCCTGTGTTTCACGTGAACCTTTGTTTAAGGTTAAAGAGCATCGTAACTGCCAGGTAGCAACATTGCCTTACATGGGTCAGGGTAAAACCCCTGCCAAGGAAGAGGAGAAGTCTCGGCTTTGCACCGCTCCTTGCCAAAGTCACAGAAAGGAGAAAAGGACAGGGCAGCAAAGCATATGACAAAATACAAAATATTTTGGTTTTAATCTATTTCACTGCTATAACCAGAGGAATGTAAAGGAAAATAATCATGGTGCAACAACTTGAGTATTTCACACACACACACAAAGAAAAAGTCACTAAAATAACTGTTCTGTTTCTTTTCTTTTCAAAATACAGTCCAAATCAGAGGGGAGGAGAGATGTCCAATTTCTTACAAGCTCCCCAGAGAGTTAGACACTTATAACAGTCCCTCAACTTTTATTGTCTTTATTCTTCAAATGCTGCCCATCCCCTGTGTGATTTCACACTGCCCTTCTGCTCTCCTTCCCATCTGTCACACTGTATCTCCCTTTTCCACTCACTTCCTCCTCTTCTCTGATCCAATCATGCATTCCACCTTCCCTAGTTCATCCCAAAGTTTGTTGGAACATCAACATTCCTCCAATGCTTTCAGCCCCTCATCCCACATGGCTGCCTGCACCCTGCCAAGGGGCTCCTGTGCTGACAGCAGGGCTGCAGGAGCCTAAATCCACTGCTTCTCATGGCCAAGTCAATTCCACCACAAAGAAAAGCAGAAACTGTGGTGAGAGATTTCAGCCTAACTGGGGGAGGCAAAGAAGGCACAGTGTGAAAGTCCACTGCTACATACCAGGCGATGGAAATCAGTACAGCTGGTACTGTGTGTTCAGCTCTCAGCCAAAGTCCTTTCTCTCAAGGTTGTGCTGACAGACTAAAAAACAAGGGCTGAAAGAAAACACAGTGTGAAAGCGAGCAATGGGGAACTTGCCCCAGCAGAAAGAATATGCAAAGAGGAAGGTTTAACATGTTTGTTTAGATGTCAAACCCTTGGCAGGGACTTTCAGGAGGGACAACGAAAGGTGTAAATCCAATGCACACCTATTGCTTCTTGATACACCTGTGTATTTCTCCCAGCCTTTCCACATAAGTGCTGTCTTTAAGACTCAGCCTTTTCAGATTGACATTTCAGAGAGACATCTCAGACCTCCCTCCCATCTGCTCCAAAACAGGAGATATGCTGTAAATGAAGACTTGCGGCAAGCAAATTTTTACCAGGAACAAATATTTGCCATTGTTCTGGATGGCTGCTATGCCACACTACATTCTTCTTGGCACACTAGAGTGGTTAAATATTCTCGGAAAAGTAAGTAGATTTCTGCCATCACAAATGGCTGACAAACACTTCAGGCCACTGAACCCTGGGTCTTCATTTCTTCTTGTCAAGTTGAAGGCCCTACCCCAGGTAGGACTATGCACACAGCTGGCTTCTCATGTGTGCTGGCAAGATAAAAGAGCTAAAGAGTCAGGTAAATAATAGTTGTTAGAAAGCTGTGGACACCCAGTGCTGTGAAACCCACACTAAGGGCTGCAGATACATGCCCTGTGCTAACTAGCCACCTCTTAAGATCTCTCAAGGTTTCCACTGCCATTTCACTTAGTCTCTTGCTGAAGTGCCACGTCTACCTGGCAAACGAATTCCCTCTGTTCCTTTATGCCAAGTTTCACTCCAGCATGTCAAAACCACTGCCCTACACTGCAGCATTCCTTTCCAAGTGAACTATTCCCCCCCTCCCTCCCACGAGTCCTGCTGATGGCAGCTCAAAGTTGTATAACTGCTCACTCCCTCCTTGATAATAGAGAGAACCAGGATTTCCTGGTATGCCAGAAATGGTTTTGCTACTGCTGCCTGTGTGAAAGGGGTGGGACAGGAGGCAAAGCAGCCATCGTGTGTTACAGCTCTGGGTCGTGTCTGTGCACCTTGACATTCTGCCAGGCTATAATAAGAGAGACCTGCAGGGAGCAACATATGTCAAAGTTGGTAATTTTCCTTCCTGCCTTCACTCCTTGAAACCGCCTCAATTGGATCAACGCCCGCCCAGTTCCTTCTTTGGATAGCCAATGAAGCATGCACACTGCAGGAGCAGCTGCCAGCTCCGCTGGAAAATGTACAGAGGAAAAGATCACCTGTGAGTGTGCAGCCTTGGCGTGAGCTGTTCTGCACGTCTGCACCTCAACAATGCTGCTGCGGCTTTGGGAGGCAACAGCAGCCGACCGCAGCACCGACCGGCCACTCACAGCCCAGAGCCAGGGGCGCCTCTGAGAACACGCTCCCAACAGCAGGGAGACCTAGGAGAAGCCTCACAAACCTCCCCTCATTTTTAAGCTGAGCTGTGCTAATAATCCTTTCCCCTTCCCTCCCCCAGCAATTTTCAGCTTCCCTGGACAGCCACGGTGTCAGTCCACATCTGGAAAGGGCATCCCTGGACCATTTGCAGCTGAATCCGAAACAGATGCAGGAAAGATTTGAAAGGTCCCTTGCAGTGTCTTCCTTCAGGCTTCCTTAGTGCTGCACTAACATCAAGACCGGAGGTGACTTCAGGTGGTGCCTTCTTGTGCTTCCTGTTATGCCAGACATTCAGCTGAGATGCAGCCCTGGCACTGGGCAGCTGGGCTCAGATAAGTAAGTGGTGCTATTGTCTGTGGGGTCCACAAATTTGGCCTTCCAAGGAGAATCATCAAAAATTGCACAAAAGACCTCCAGTTTGCAGAGGTTTTGATAACTTGTAAAGCATCCAGGTTGTTAACTGCTTCTATGGACATAATTCAGATGCCACATCATTTGAGTCTGTACTAGCCCTCATCAGAGCCAAGCTGGCCTAAGATTTCTTCTGAGGAAAACCGATAAACTCACCTGCCCAACCATCTTTGAGCTCCCAAGGTTGCCAAAGCAGATCTGCTTTGCCTGTCCTCCTTCTTCCTGATTTCCTTCCGCCCAGCTACTTCACAAATGCATGTGCTCCACTTCGCACTTTCTAAGCCCCTACTTGAATAAGGGATTTGCAGGCTGTTAATTTCTGTGGTGTTATTCTCAGGGGTAAAGGGAGCATCAGTGTCATTGTCACATTACCGATTCATCAAGTTTTCTGCATCGAGCTCAGGCAAGCTGGCAGCACTGCTCGACACTGGGGCACTCCTTTGACAGGAGCAGGAAAGGCCATGTACTTACACCAACTAATTCAGCTGATTTATTTTTAAATTCTGTAATAAGGCAGGCACAGAGCAAACAGAGAAATGCAAACCCATTGAGATCTAGAAGGCACTGTGTGTTTCTTTATGCCTCTGCCTGCCTCTCATTTGTCTCTGCAAGTGATTCGGAAAACCCTGTTTAATCAGACTCAGCACCTGCCATCTGTTTAGTGAGACACTATAGGGCCGGTCCCTATTTTGTATTGTAACGAGTTATGTCAGAATTGCCTTTGATTTAGCATACTTTGTGCAACTTGTCCCACTGCCATCATTCACAGCAATCAGAGTGAGGCTTTAAGGCTCCTTTTCTCCTTGGGGCATAATGACTCACTGCAGTGGATGAGCAGGCCACACTGACCCTCTGCATCCCCCCGGCTCTGAGTCACAGGCTGGGATTATAGGGACATGTTTGGGATTACAGACAAGCACTCTTCCAGAAACCTTCTTCTCTTCTGCCTCTACCAGTACCTTGCTTAGTAGAGGTTGTGTACATTTCCAAATGTGGCAGGAAGGATGGGAATTCATGGAATCCCCGGACAGCTTGCAACTGTACAGCCACGTGTCTGAGCAAAGGTACCTATCGATCAGCTTGGTTAGTGACACCCTTAACACATAAAAATGGGATCATGTGAGTCCATCCATCCTTGTGCCAGGAAATCTCTTAATAGTAAAACAAAAAGTGTGTATTGGCAGTCGGAGTAGGTGGGTGTTTTGCAGGATGCCTGGCACTTTGGAATGGGCCCTCCTGATGGCATGAAGCAGATGCTTTATTTTACACACCTTTGAGATGATGTGCTTTGTGCTTTTTGGAGCAGTCACAGGCCTGTTGTGGTGGGACAGCAACCTTATTTCTTGAAGATAACCCATCAAGTTCCATCCCACTGCAGTGAGAGCAGAGCTGATTATCTCCTCCTGGCAGGGTGGTTTAGCTCACCTCTCACAAAATCCCCGACTAAACTGTACCTGCCAGTTTGGAAGAACATCTGCAGTGGCCAGAGGGGATGTATACCCTGCTCTGCCTGGGAAACACCTCCTCGTGTGCTTCAATTTGTCTCACAGGCTGTTGCTGTTGAAACACCTGACCTGGTTTTATGGGGATGGATACAGTCACACACAAACATCAATGTCTGGAAAGCGACTCAGAGAGTCAGGGACAGACTTTAATGAAATGCATTAAAAAAAAAAAAAGAAAATGAAAGAAGAAGAGCTGACATCAAAGTGAGCAACAGAGGACCCAGAGACTGATGGATTTCACACTCGGTTGATTGTTGCAATTAATTACATAGAAGGAGCTGTGACATTGTATGTACCAAACCGCTCCCCCCTCACAGCTGGAAGCTCAACAGTTAGTGAGGCCACAGGAATCAGATGTTGCAGAGAATCCAGTTGCACCATATATTTCCACATCTTGCTCAAGCTCCCCAGGTGAATGTCTGGGTTTGGTTTCTGCGGTACCATGCCATGTGCCCAAATTCGTCAGGACGGGCGTGTTTGTGCCTGCTACCAGCCTGCTGGGTTTGCCTCCCTGTGGGGGAAGCAGGGAGGAAGCAGAGAAATTGTCGGTTTTGCATTTCACAACCACCCGCATAATCCAGGTTGCTGCGCACATCCCGTGGCTCAGCCTCTCAGGCCCAGTGTGATGGGAAGCGGGAGGGAGTGTTTATACAGCCCGCTGGCTGCTCTGCAGTCACTATAGCAACCCCAAGGGTCAGTTTATAGTAGGAAAGGAAGTTCACTTCTGGGGAGTTCAGCTTTCCAACACCAGCATCAAGCATGGCTGAAAAACAAAAGGCCAGGCGGTTGGAGGAAACACATTTAAAAGAGCTTCCTATGTGCAAAACCACCCAAGCTTTCTCAGTCACCAGGAGATGCTGCATTCCTTTCCTCTCGGTCAAAGGCATGCTGCTATCCGGCTGATGCCTCTACCAGAGGGGTACCTCCCTTCTCCTGCAGATGTCTGTGTGCGTTTGAGAGCAGGGCAGCTGTAGATGAGTGCAACATTGTGTCCCACTTTTGGAAACATCACTGTGCTGACAGCCCCAAGCTGAAAGCCACAGAACCAATGTCCAGAGTGCACTTGATGCACGCTCTGGCATGTGCAAAAGGCTGTTTGCAGATCTTTGCAATGTCTCCTGTGTCAGGAAGAAATAACAGGCACTGTTCTTTCTGGTCTGGAGGTAAACCAGCAAATGCTCATGCATTTAAACTTGGAGTTTTTTGAATTTACCATGCTGAGACTTAGTCTGCATCTGTGCTGCCAGTGGTATCCTGATTAAATCTGAAATAAATGACAAATGTCTCTGAGGTAATGCCTAGGGAAACACCCTTTTCCCAAACACTGCCGTCTCCCCCAGACTGCTCTTCTCAACCGGTGTGGCTCCTTGGTCTACTGTATCTCACTGCCAAAATGGCCTGAATACTGCCCAAAAGCTGAAAGTGCATCTGTCAGCCATTCTTATAACTGTGGGACAGTGTCAGAGTGCAATCAGCCTGAGGAATTGTGTTTTCTCGGGAAAAGAGGTAATAAATACAGCATCCCTTCAGCTACAAGGGAAAACAGCCTGCAGCCTGAAGTCATTCTCTCCCCACCAGTTTCCATCACTGGATCTGAAGCAGCAGAAAA